CATTAATCAAAATGCAAGTCATCCCGTTCCTTAAACTTGCAAAAAAAAAAAAAAGAGTGATATTGAAGCGAGTGTGGATTAATGGGAAGGAGAGTCGATCCCACTTGATGTGCACGTGGTGAGTGGGTGACAACGTCTATGGGCAGCATGGTTAAAGTGACATAGTGGCAAAATTAAGCGATACATAAGTCGGGAGACAAAACAAATAAAACGCGCGTATTTTGACCTAATATCACAATAATCAAACTAATGGTAAATTGCCGCCTTTAAATCCTCAGCAACTAGACAAGATATAAAATCGATTACGACATTTTGGCTCAAATCATAGAATAATTGTTGCTCGCATTATTGTCCTTGAATTGTATTTAAAGCCAATTGCAGGAAACACAAAAAAAACTCGATCGAAAATACAGCATAAGCAATAAATGGACTTACGACATCATAAACAATGATTATTACTATGCTTAGATGAATTGTGTGTTAAAAAGCATTTGCTGAAACTAATGTCAAACAACCGTATTTGGCTTATTGTTCAACTAAATTTATTTTTGGCACGCTACACAACATGCGCTATTGGAACTAACAGTGTGTCGATCATGACGGCCATATTACACTTGCTAATTCGAATTTTTAAACTGGTACTATCTCAAAGTTCGCTTAATGGATACCCTAAAACGTAGGCATCTTGGCATGCCTGACTACAGCGGTGCTTATCAAGAATCTCTGGAACCCGAGTATAGCGAGGATAAATTTTACAAACCGACGCGGCAACAGTCCGGCAACAAGGTAATGAAATTGACCACAAATAACTTTGCAGAACTGTAATTTGATCATGTACCACTTTTTGTTGTAGTGGTTAGGGTTCTCAAAGGAATACCAGGATGAAACCTTAGCATTCTTGAAAGAGTACCATGAAGATATTATTCCTCTTGCGTTAACTTTTATCTCGTTTTGGACGCGATTTTATTTAATATCTTTCGCAAATTTTGTTGTGTGGGATGAGGTATAAATATAATCAATACAGTATTTGGTTGTTGTTTTTTTTACATTACGTTGATGTTGATCTGGTCTAAACCATCCCACTTTTCCAGGCGCATTTTGGAAAGGTAACTAATTGACATGTTATCACAGTGCTTTAGTCGATATCTCATGCCTTGTCATTATCCTGAACACAGTTTGGCTCTCACTATATCAAACGTGAATTCTACTTTGATGTTCATCCACCGCTTGGGAAAATGCTGGTTGGCTTGGCTGGTTTATTGGCTGGTTACAATGGACGATTCAGCTTCAATTCTGGCGAGACTTATCCTGATTCCGTGAACTACGGCTTTATGCGATTGTTTTGTGCTTCGTTTGGAGCATGGATGGTGCCCCTGACCTACTACACCGCAAAAGAGTTGGCATTTTCGATGCAAGCCACTATTCTTGTGACTTTGATGGTTCTATTAGGTGATATATTAGTTTTATTATTGTATACAAGATATTTTTGATGATTATCATACTATATTCACGAAATCCAATCTAATATTTGCAGACACCGCTTATCTATGCATAAGTAGATTTATTCTTTTGGATTCCATGCTGTTATTCTTTACTCTAACTTCGGTATTCTGCTTGACAAAGTTCCATAATCAACGCAATGAGTGAGTATTTTAATGAGTATCGTAAATGTATCTTATGATTGCGAGTTCTTGCTAATTATCGTTATCATCAGTTCATTTTCTTTGGATTGGTGGTTATGGCTTACTTTAACTGGAATTTCGATCGGATGTGTATCAAGGTAAGTCAAATAAAATGCCCAACATAAAAAACATCAAATTGCTATTATATTGATCTTTTGTCTCTCAATCATACAGTGTCAAATGGGTTGGCCTTCTTGTCACAGCATTAGTCGGTTTATATACTATTGAAGATCTATGGGATAAATTCGGAGACTTCCACATGCCAAAGGTAATCGAAATAGAAATTAGTTTGATATAGGATTACTGTTATCGTTTCAACGTTTATTCAACGTTTATTCTAACCAATCGCCTATCTTCTCTCGATGAGTCCACGTAGTCTGTTTACCTAAAACATTGGATTGCTCGTATCGTGTGTCTGATCGTTCTTCCAGTGGCAGTATACATGCTTTGCTTTGTAATTCATTTCGCAATTTTGAACCACAGCGGACCTGGAGACGCACAAATGAGTTCATTGTTTCAAGCGGGTCTGGAGGGAAACGATTTCAATAACAACCCATTGGGTTCGTACAATTAATATTGGTAAAAAACGTGCACTTTGAGAATATTAACCATGATATGGTTTAATTATCTGCAGAAGTGGCATACGGATCGAAAGTAACCATAAAGAATATGGGATACGGCGGAGGGCTTCTTCATTCGCATGTCCAGAAATATCCGCATGGAGTTGGGTCAGAACAGCAACAAGTCACTTGCTATCACCACAAGGATTCCAATAACGAATGGCTCGTTGAAAAACCGCGGGAATCGCCAATATCGGAAACAGAAATAGAATTTGTCAATAATGGTGATACTATTCGATTATTACATAGTCCTACGGGAGCAAATCTACACAGCCATTCAGTCAAAGCACCAATTACTAAATCTCAATGGGAAGTCAGTTGTTATGGGAACGATACGGTCGGAGATCGTCAGGATTATTGGATCGTAGAGATAATAGATGACTTGCACGAGAAGCATGTCGAACGAATGCGGTCACTGACTACTCGATTCCGATTGCGACATAAAATTCTCGGCTGTTATTTACGTGCTGCTAATACTGTTTTACCTCAATGGGGCTTTAAGCAGATTGAGGTCACTTGTGATAAAAGGAATAACATAAAAGATCCTCATACTCATTGGAACATTGAGCGGCATTGGAACGATAAATGTATGGAATCTCACTTTTTCGTTGTATCCCACGTGAACGCAGATACTCATTTACTTCTTCTCTATAGTACCGTCTGCTCCTGCAGCCAATTACCAATCAAAGTTTCTTTATGACTTTTGGCATTTGAATGTTGCAATGTATACGTCCAACAATGCTTTGATTCCTGATCGTGACAAAGAAGACATTCTAGCATCAACTCCAGATCAATGGCCATTGCTTACAGTTGGATTGAGAATGTGTGGTTGGGCTGACAATGCGATCAAGTTTTACTTGCTGGGAAATCCTATAGTCTGGTGGTCAGGAACAGCATCCTTGGCATTATATGCAGTTTTATGGTTATTTTATATGGTTAGAAGAAAAAGACACTATCACGTTCGTAAGTATTGCATTGTAAATGACAATGTTTTTGCTATGCCTTTTCTTTAACGTTGCCTTTGTTCTATTTTTATCTCTAGGCCAATGGAACCACTTTCTTTATGTTGGCAAGGTAGCAGGACTAGGATGGTTACTCCACTATATCCCATTCTGTATCATAGGGCGGGTGACTTACATCCATCACTACTTCCCTGCATTATATTTCTCGATTTTAATGGCTGGATTTCTAACTGATCACCTAGCAAGCAAACTTACGAACGCGAAAGTGCGCAATGCAATATTTGGAACATTTTATTTTTTAATCACAATAGTATTCTTATATTTCAAAGACATTGCTTTTGGAATGGATTATCCCTCGAGCGAGATGCAGGGGAGAAAATGGTTGAGTTCTTGGAATATCGCCTCCTAGAATACTCATAGATTGACGCTTTCCTATATTATAATATATCTGTTTACACAAACATTCACTTAATAATGGAGTATTTTAAAGTAACGCCCACTTTGAAATCCCTTAGATGGTAATACAGTGGTTAGTATACTAGTCTCTTGTTCGCCTTCACAGAATTCTCTGCTGCTCATATTTTATGCGCAGTTGATCATTGGACGTGGGCTGGAGGGGAGGACATTGAAAATTAAATAAAGGACAAAATAAACGATAACTCGTATGAAATAATTGTAATTCAGTCCAGCTCGACATCAGCGGCTGGCAAATATTTTATGACTGAAGTCTATACTGTACAGACAGTTCATAAATAGGTACTTAGTATGTGTGTATCTGAAGGGACGCTGCCACTAGGTGTAAATCGTAGTTTTCGAAGCACGCGGAGTGCTCCTTAATCGAAAACCGTTACCGAACATGGTGAATAGGATACACACGAAAAGTAGTTGGGGACCTGATCGTTAAATGATTACTTGTGCGAACGTTCGATTATCCGCTCCGATGCTCACTGTGCGCACAGGCGGCTGTGGTGAATAGGTACATGGGACTTTGATGTGAAGTCATCGAATAAGCGTGACATCCGGATGGGTGGTTGCCGCTTGACACGCACAACCTTAATTTGTTCGTGATTCTGATGATGCAGTTTACTCACGTTTTCCCCAACTTATAGGAGATAAATAATGAAGATTATACTTGTCCTCGGCATGACGTTAAACTGCCGGATACAATGACCACACAACCGATCGCAAAGAGGATTTTGGGCTCATAGATCGAGGTGAGTCTTGTTAAGTAACTGAACGAAGATCGATCGAGTCACGTCGTATTGTTTGGCAGGCTAAGTATGAATAAATTCTCGTCTTCCTGTAAAGTGAACAATCGTTAATCTTGTATGCTATTATTTTCCTGGAGTCAATTGCTTGATGTACAGTATGATATGCCACGTCACATAATTCCGTTAGTTAAAACTCCAACTCTGTGTATTAGCAATGCAGGAGGATTCATATGCCATACGCCAGGGACAACTTCCCGCTGACTATATATATCTACAATCTTAGTTCCTTTTATAGAATGACTGCCCTATCCGATGCGCAAATCTAGTCCATTTTTAGGAAGAACTGTCGTTGTAATACAAGACACTACTAACAAATCAGGTAAACGTCTTTTGTGCGACTTTACGCTATGCAGAATTGGGAATAAGTCAACCAGCTCGGAGAAAATGCACAAGTGTATTATGGTTTGCACTATTATAAATTGAAGTTGAAAGGTTGATTTCTATGTTAATTCTATAATATATATATTAGTTGATATAAATTTTCTCATCTTTCTCGTCAGTAATGATATTTTCTTCACTGCTATTCTCGACAGTGTCCATCTCACTTAATGACGATCGCCTTATAGAAGTCTGATTCCGAGAGACTATTAAGCCAATTGGCACGCAATCATCTTCATCCACAGTCTGTATTCTCTTTCCATTACTTGTACCAACACCAACTCCACTGTTTCCTCCGAAAAAGTTCGCGTCATCAGAAATATCTTCGTCGGAACGTTCACTACCGCTTGAATACAATGTACTTCCATCTGAGTTATGATAAGGGTCAGATGTTTCTTCAAGTCGTCTTCCTAAAATGTCGTCAACCCACATCTGGCGTTCCTCTAAAGATATGTCCCTTACTACGTATCCCTCACTGTCTCTTCTAACTATCTGTCTTCTTCTATTATGAGAAGAGCGACGATTAAAATTACGATCATAGTCCTCTATGTGCCATGGTTTTGGTGGTAGTGAAGCTGGTGACGGTGTTGTTGGATCCTTAGGAGGCCATACTAAGTCCGGATCTGTTCAAGGAAGAATGTAATATAAGACCAAGAACGTTCTCATTTCATAATTCGAAGATAATTCTCATCATCAATCCGTACGTTCAAGACGCGCATCTCCATTCGAGAAGATTACTAATCGCAGATACCCGTTCTCAATACAGTTGATTATTGTTATACTATGTAGTCCATTTCCAGGTCAGTTCCAATCGTACCTGCATTTTTTGCGATTGAATAATCTATTCCATTACCGGACATGTGTTGTGGCCAGCACCATAATAGGGCATTTTTACCAAGCACTGATTGATAGTTGGCAAAGCATCCGAGATCGTAGGGGAACTTTACCTATTTGAATCGAGAAAATTAGAGATAGCATTCTAACGTACGCATTCACTGGTCAAGAATTACCTTTTTAATTTTCCCCCTTCGAATCATTGTCGCAACTTTGTCTTTTTCCCAAGTCTCTATTGTTGTTGTATTTGAACACAGGCAATAGAAGTGACAGCAGCTCAATACCCCTACTGAGAATATTACTGGTATTACTGCTACGATATTTAAGACCAGGAAAACCACTTCTACTGGAGATGGATCATCATTTGTCTATTTAATAGAAAAAATAGCAAGTCAATAGAGCCGCTGATCATATTAACAAGTTCACCAGCCCATGCTTACGTAAGTGACATCGTTCACCATCCAGTAAGTCCTCTGTATACATAGCGCAAAGTGATAGATACAAGTAACATCAACCCAGAATATAAAACGAAGAAAGTGACTATAATTATAATATCCGATACAGTTATTAGTCCATGGACCTAATAAGAATAAGAGAACCCTTTATTGTTAATAGTTACATGTATATAACCAATAGATTTCCTGTAGCATGGGCTAACTTACAGTGATGATCCATCTTCAACACGCATCTAATTAAAGACAACTAAAATGAGTCAGGGCATACATATAATACAACGAATTCAAACTAATCTTCTAAATAATAACCTCTGACATGTCTTGCAATGGTGGGCTCTAGGAGGCTTGTAAGACTTGCAAGATTTGCAATATCTTGGTGTGCGTATAGACTTTTTCACTTCTACGTCCTCAGTCATATTAGGGCGCTATAGGAAAAATTGTTCAATTTTCGGCTGATTTCGGCATTACTCAACTCTCTAAACAGGTACGTACCCAATCATTTGGCACTCTCCCGGGATCAGTTGTGCAAGTAAGATAATAATTATATGCCAACAACAACACAAAGAAATTAAAGGGTCCGAGAACTAGCAAAGTCTGGACATTTAGTCCCCCCAGATATTCCCAGAAGATAAAATATTGACTTGAATAAGAAAGAAAAGATATGAGAATAGTAACACCGATGATGAAGAAACGACCGGTGTCCATATTGTAAGTAAACGACAGATCAAACGTTTTGAGAACTACAAGTAAATGAATATATTAATATGATCGACGGTATACAGGTTGCACAGTTTCCGAAAAACGTGGCAAATAATTCCTTTCATTTATTTGTTATCGATCACTGCCATTCAACACTGAAAGCTCTTCTAATCTCACCAACAACTCGCCCAACTCCAACTCCAACAGCAATTACAACAATTACTAAATCGCTTACAACTAATGATAACCCGCCTAGCATGAATCTCGGAGCGAATATCTTCCATACCATCAGATGTCTTCTGAACCATGCAGCAAAGAAGCTTGCACTCAAAGTCAGTAGGGAATTATACAACATATAATATAATACAACTTTCATCACGTTCTGGTACATAGGAACTTCTCTCTTTGGCGGTAAATTCCATAAAGCAGCAAGAGGAACAGCTGCAGAAAATAGAATTTGACTACCGAAAGTGTTTAATGTGATTAAAATGGGAGATATTAGATAAGATGTCTCAGTTATTCCAATGAATCCTGTTGACCATTGAATGGATGAAATCGTTGATTGGTGACCCGTAGCAAAGAAGTAGAACATCGACATGAGAGTGAAAATTGCCGCTGATAGTAGATGACCACTCTGCTCTCGCATATGAGGAGGAAGACTCATTGAAGGATGGTCAACATTATCGCTGGCGGCAGAGATCTTGTTCTTCTTATTTTTCCGATCATCGTCCATTTCATCGGCTTCATCCCTCTGTAGTCTCTTGACCTCTTCTACCAATTCATCAGCATCTCTGCGTAAATCTAGAATCTCCAGCAACAATAGCATCTGTATGATACTAATTGATGTCATAATCCCTCCCATTGGCTTCTGTACAATGACAACCAACAAATACAATGTACTCACAAATACAAAGTATGATGATCCAAGAGCATTGCCGAATCCCAATATTACGACAGCTGTCTTTCCTTTCGAATTATCGGTAGTATTCTTTTTTACGTTATTCTTTACACTGCCGTGTTTTCGTTTTCTCTCTTGCTTTAATTCATTGACTCCACTACTTCCTCCTATTGCTTGATCGACAGTCCTCAAATTCAGACACAGAGGTGCTTTCCACCACATTGTATTACCAACCACCATAGATAGACCAAACGCCATCCGTACTATGAAATTCTTCAACCACTTACTTCCTTGATATTCAATTGAATTAACTTCAGTAGACTTATTCTTTAATGTATTATTAGCATTTTCTCTATCATCCATGATCCAATAAGCCGCAGAGAGCACCAGTCCAGCGCGTAATCCCCATCCTATCCATAAGGATGCTATTCCATTGTAAGTATTTGATAAATTTAATAGCCACTTTATGATTTCTGGTATCAAAGGAGCCAATGCAATAAGGACTGTAAGAGTAGATGGAGAGGAAATTGAGTTTGCAGATGATGCATAAAATGTCTGAGTGCAACCTGGCATCTGCTCTTCTCTACATATAGTAGAGTAATGTGATATTCTAGTGAGTAGCACGAACAATGAAGCGAAAATTGTCAATCTTTTCCTAACCGAGTCCGTTGGAACGCGGAACGATTGGATAATTGTAATAAAGCCGAACGTCTGCAGTAAGAAAAGCGTTATACTGTCCTCATGGATGGTAAAGCTATTTGACGCGAATGATAAAGTATGTAATAAGAGAAATATAAATGCAATAAAGTTATCCCTTGTCATCATATTCCGCATCAGATCATTTATCCTTATCCGAGTGACTAGTGTCATAATATAACCAAGAACTGAACCCCCACACATAGACAGTACCATCATGTCCAATTTACTGAAATCAGAATCCTCTAACCATCGCCATAGCAAGGTCTTGACCACGCCTATCCTAACAAGCAGAATGCCAATTGCCCCGCCCGCGATTATATTCTTCATCACTTTCTCATTGTGTAGTGTAATGGTCTTGTATTGTGGCATTCCCAATATAGATAATAATATCACTCCACAGCTACTAAATAATATAACCAGTCCAGATACCATTAACGGATAATCAAACTGTGCCCATATGTGTCGACAAGTCTGCAAAGTTGTTCTAAGAAACTGCATGTAAAGCCTTAGTATTTTTCTGTAAGAATTTATATCCATTGCTGCTTCTTTCTCTTTTTTCTGTATCAGACCAAGGTATTCATATTCAGCATCATCAAACAAATGTCGGAATTTCTCCATTCCCGTTGTTGATAGTTCTGCATGTGGCTGTTGCAACGAATATTCATTTGCGTATTGATATATTTGTTGGGCATTTAATCTGACAGCACTGAGAAGACTCTCATATCTCTTTTCAACATCTTCTCCAATGAAGAATAGCTCTGGAATTATAGCTCCAAGATTATTAAATGGTATTGGTAGGCCTATTAGCAGTGCAAGACTTGGTACAAGGTCAATCTGAGGAATACTCCTCCATTTGCCATAGTTTGTAGTATATAATCTCACCCCTCTTGTTATGCCATCATCCTCATCTAACTGCATAATGTCTTCTAATTCATTCTGATATAACTGCTTCTTACTATAAACAAACAACGATGACTCTACTTCATTATCACTGTCACCCCCATGATCGCCTTTGCTATCCATTCCATGATCTCCCATAACTAGCAAAAGCGTTTCATCATCAATACCCTTGACCACATCATGCAATACATTGTTCATCAGTTGTAACTTATCCGCCATTGCTGGGTGATCAGGCCCAAATCTGTGTCCACAGTGATCCACTCCTAGAAAATGTGCTATTATTACGTCCCATTTGTTCTCTCCTTTTATCGTTGGTAACAAGTGTTCGATTATTCCATTGTCAACAGTATATAAATCCCACACGTTGAAGCTTGGATATGGCCATGACATGTTCACATGGAATTGCGTGGGAAACAAAGATGTCCAGGTATCGTCTCCCATAAATGCAATGGATCTGTTCAATTGTTTCAGTTGATCGATGAGGTTATCTTCTGTTATAGCGGATCCTGCAAAATTTCTCCCTGCATCGATGAATGTTGGTAACGTTCCGGTTGTAAGACCTTTCAGTCTCTGTAGAGTGGTTGTTGGTGGATCCGCTACATATTGAAAAAGTAACGCATTCGATGGTTGATCGGTTAATAGTTCGTGTAAATAAGTTAACTTGTTTGTATAGTATGGTGAAAGTGAGGGATCGCTCTCATTCAGTGGAACGACAAAATCGAATCTCAATGCATCAATCACTATTATTACAGCCTTTTTGTATCGAGGCTCAATCCAACAAGATCCACTATTTTCAACTTGAAGAACATTATTTTGGTCTTGCGACAAGGGATATAATGCACAGCTACTACGGTCCTCTAAAACAAGTCTAGCGAGTAAAAATCCCCTTGTAAATAAATAGAGTCCCCCAACGTGAAGAATAACTATCCAGAAGCAGAAAGAGACTAATATTATATGTGATCTAGTAAACGAATCATGTGGCTTTATTGGATGTAGCGTGGAATGATCTATCTTAACCATGATGAAAGGAAATCCGAGAGCCCAATTTCAGATTTTTGGGGTTTCAAATTAAGATTCCAATTTAGTAAGTTCGCAGAAACTCTTTCCTCATTCCGTAGTCAATAACGGATTGATTAATTAACTATCCAATTACATCTTATGGTTTAATTTATCCAATTACATTTAACGTAGAATTTAGTCGAACTTCTTGCTACGCGCAAATATGTACGTATACACGAAATTCTTGAATAGTGAAAAGCAGATAGACGGGATTTTTGGCGGTCTTTTTTTATATAACGCCCAACAGGACGTCAGTATTTATAACAGTTGCCGTATATCCTCGATTAGCATAGTTATCTTGAACAAAGCAGATTTTGCTGCCCGATCCAATACTATTTCCGGTAAACAACTTTTTCAAGTACAAGTCAAACTTAACTACCACTTCAGATAATAAACTGCATTTTCTGATAGCGAGCTTGGGAAATTGAATTATCGGCGGCCTTTTGTTACCATTGTTTTAAAAGTTGACATTTTTGTTAAAGCCGGACCCGGCATACAGTGTCAGTTTGCGACGCATTCTTTATTATTGTAGTTGCGTTATCTAGTATTAGTATTATCATTTTTTCGCTGTAAATTATAACAAGACTGGCCAAGACTACTAAAGCAAATATTGCTGTTGGATTTTGCAATAAGTTTTTTGCTGATTCAAGAGAACACAACATAGCATAGCATATATGCTTTTTAATGATTATTACACCTAAACTCGTGGTCACACAATGTTACACATTTATATAGGCACACATCTACGAAAATATTTTTGAATCCAATTAAATGTATATTCCAAGACGAGCACTTTGTCATTCCACTCTTCGTCTTGTAACTCGCCAGTCATGTTCCGTTCGCCTACTGACAACTACTGCCAAACAACCACCCTCCTTTTCGACAAAAACGCGCAACTTTGTTCTTGGCACAGCTAGCATTTTTGCGACTGTGCTTTTTCTCGATTACTACTTTGACTCTCGAGCTGCAATCCACAAATACTTTTTAATGCCGGTTTTACGAGGAGTTATTGATGCAGAAGATGCGCATCGATTGGCAATATGGTCGGCCAAATGGGGATTGAGTGCAAGTGATCGAGTAAAGGATGATGAGAGATTAGCTGTGGAAGTGTGGGGAAGAAAAATGGCGAATCCGGTGGGATTGGCTGCTGGTTTTGATAAGCATGGTGAAGCGATTGATGGATTATTTGATATGGGTTTTGGGTACGTTGAGATTGGAAGTGTCACACCGAAACCACAGGTAAGATAAATTTCTCACATGAAAATGGTATTTGGCAGTATTCCTCTACTATCGCTGATTTACAATGTTTCGCTTGTTTTTCCCATTAATCCCTATTTAATATTTCATCAGCCTGGTAATCCAAAACCACGCGTTTTTCGCCTACCTCAAGATAGAGCATTAATAAATCGCTACGGATTTCCTTCTGATGGCCACCGGACTGTCGCTCTACGTCTCCGCGAGCGTATACGTCGATATATCTACGGCACTCTATCACATCATCCCAAAGAAACTGCTCGATTACTTGCATCTTCTCCCGACGGTTTTGGTACTCTCGTTGATGCCATCGGCGTCAACAGAAGTTTGTATAGGAGTAAGTTGCTGGGCATCAATCTAGGGAAGAATAAATCTAGTAACGTTGAATCGGTAGATGATTACGTAAAAGGCGTTAAAGAGTTGGGAGACTATGCTGACGTTCTTGTGGTTAATGTGAGCAGCCCAAATACGCCTGGTTTACGGAGTTTACAAAAGAGAGAGAAACTGGAAACGTTATTGAGGGAGGTGAGTTTATGCATGTTAATATTTCCGTGACTGCAAAGGGAATTGGACAAGCCGGCGAGAAAACTTTCTATCTTTGGAATATTATCGCTCACAAGAGTTTTTCTAAAGGTCATAAAAGCACGAAATACTCTTAGCAAACCACAACCACCATTGCTGGTTAAAATATCACCTGATTTATCAGATGAAGAGCTTGACGACATTTCCGATGTAGCAGTCGCTACTGGCGTAGATGGCATCATTATTTCAAACACGACTATCTCTAGAGCAGATACTCTCTTCAGTGGCAAGTACAAACAAATGATAATGGGTACATTTTTATCTCTCAGCATACTCATAAGACGAATCTCTTTGTTTTGTACTCTGACTGCATCGATCAATATCTACACCAATTAGATCCTAGCACAATATCAGAAACGGGTGGTTTGTCCGGTCCTCCACTCAAATCACTTGCGCTTCGTACTCTTCAGCATATTTATCAGCGTACTGGTAATAGTCTGCCCCTAATAGGATGTGGAGGCATCGTAACTGGCAAAGACGCCGTTGATTATGCTCGCGCAGGAGCTACTCTAATACAACTATACACTAGCTTTGCATACGATGGATTTGGAAAGGCGAGACAAATTAAGGATGAGATTTTGAGAGAGCTGGATGGAAGGAAGTGGAGTGAAGTTATCGGAGAGGAATTTAAGGCGAAATGAATTGGGAAGTAAAAGTATCTCTAAATAAAACAAAATTACGCTACTTTTAATTCTATCTATGCTCTCCTGCATTGCTGGATGACAGAGTGGACTCGGGCTTGAGTTTTTTATAACTAACGAAATTATGTGACGTGGCATACATACTGTACATTAAGCAATTGGAATAAATAGCATACAAGATCACTTTCAGGAAGACGAGAATTTATTCATAATAATTCTTTATTTCTTATTGTATATACATAGTTTGATACATGATTATAATAATAAATATTCTATACTACTCCAGTTCCTAATTAGTGATAGTTTTATGGCAAAGATAATATAATACTTACTACCACTACCACTTACCACGTTCTTGGCAACGAAAACTGCCGCATGGGAACAACCCACCCGCATGGCAACGTAAACTGCAAATAGTATTCCCGTACGCAGGTATGAAGTATCCGCTATCGCTCGTGGAATACTCGCGTTATAAATGGCCGGGCCGATTTGTAATTGGAGGTGATCTATTCGATGTTAACCGACATATTCTTGCTCTGTATATCCTATAAGTTGGGGGAAAACGTGAGTAAAGTGTTTCATCAGAATCACGGACCAATTGAAGGTCGTGCATGTCAAGCGGCAACCACCCATTCGGATGTCACGCTTGTTCGATGACTTCTCATCAACGTCCCATGTACCTATTCACCACAGCCGCCTGTGCGCACAGTGAGCATCAGACGACCCTTCGGCGCGGATGATCGAACGTTCACACAAGTAATCATTTAACGATCAGGTCCCCAACTACTTTTCATGTGTATCCTATTCAC